CTCTCTCTCTCTCTCTTTCATCTCGCAAGATATATACAGATAATACACATTACGCACGAGAGAATTGCGATGTTATAAAACTCGAAAAGTCCAATTAAAACTTGAAGAGATGTAGCAGTTTAATTAAATCTGTTTTATTAAATCGGTCCTTTTGACTCGACTTGTGCGATTATTGCAGGGCATTATTGCACAAGGGTCTTCCCGTCCTTGTTGAGAAGCACCGCTACATCGAGAAAACATCCGCAAACACCCGACAAATGCATTTTATTCAAATCCCATCTGTATCGGCGACGCCGCAACTTACGGTTGATGGAACTCACGGCGGATCGGTCCCCCGTCGTTATTTATGTAAGCGCCGTTCGCGATTCACGGAAACGCGAGCACGCACGGCACGAGGCTGTCCATGCAAATTTACGGATCGCGTGCACCTCTCCGCTTTCGTAATCCGTCCGCACACCCGGATTCGAGGAAGCACTTGGAGGCACGAAGGGGCACAATTAACACCACCGAGAAGGCGCGCGCGTCTCTCTCCCCCCCCGAGGGTGGGGGTTGGGGCACATCTGTGGAATAAAATCCGCCGCGGGAACACGCGTCTGGAGACTCCACGTTGAGAGATGCACGACGAGATATCCTTCTCTCTCTTTCGGAAATCGAGCTGCGCGGCCACGCACCTCGAATGATCTCACGACTGGTCTGCCGTGTTCGGTGCACTGTTTGCCTGTGTCTGCAGTATTTATAAAACGCTAACCGGAAAGCGCGGCTGGCGAGCTGATCTTGGCGCCTTGCCGGTTTGCCCGTGCACCCACCACCTCTTCCTAAGGGCGCGCACCATGTTGCGGTCATTGGTGAACCTAAACCTCATGCCAACCGGGATTCGGACATGCCCACTGGACAGAAGGGATTTCAAATAGTTAATTCCTATTCTGGACAAAAATTCATTTAGAATTTAAAATTTATTTAAAACTTTTTACTGTTTAAATGGAAAAGAATTTAATTGAAATAAATTTTAAATTCTGCTAGTTAATGTTAAAAATTTTATGTTAAAGTAATTAATGTTAAAAAACTCATAACTTCTAAATTATGGATACAAGACGTTTACGGTGTAATAATAATAAATGATAAAACGGTATTCTTGATGACCCATCCGAAAGTTTACGAGCAATGACTTATGTTTTATTTATACGCGAAAATAATCATGCGTGTATGTCCGAAATGGAAAAATGCAATGAAAGTGGGAGTCTTTTTTGGCACAGTATCATTTAAAGAATTTTCTTTATCATTGCAAAATGTACCAACAATTGCAATTGTAAAAAATTAATAATTTTATAATTCTAACGCACAGAAATTTTTATTATTCGCCACAAAATTTCATGTGGTATTTGTGCGCACAAAGAATTGTTCCATCGTTTATGTATAGTTTGTACATTTTTATATGATCGGTCTATTTATTTTACATTGCATACGCGTATAGTACGAATTTATGCGAGCGAGCAATAAAATTAAACATTCATCACGTCGGCTGAAATGTACGACGCTGCGTAACTCCAAAATCAACATGGAAGGATTTGTAATATTCATCGAATCGGTAAAATCCGGTTTCACTGAATACATCAACGCTGGTTATTATTGCAAAACTATTTCTTCGATTTTTTTTTAACGGATAGCACAGCAATATTAAACACTTCTCGAAAATTTATGAGTTTATTACCTATAAAAATTATTTTTGTTTTTTAAATCAGTAAAAATATTTCAATATTTTATTTTATTTATGTATAGAATGCACAAAAGATGTATGTGTTAAAGATATATGTATAAACGAATTTCGAAGTTTCTCGAAGAAACATCATACGTCACTGCGTATTTAGATCGGTTCAAATCCGCATCACATGCCTCCACCATATTGGATACCATCTTACGACATCATGCGGAGATTCACAGAACATCATTAATAAGATTAACCGACCGAGAATATAACAAGTTTTTTGCCGAACGTTTATTTTCAGAGAACTACAATATTACGTATCTCTCGTTTTTATCCCCTTTTTTCTCTTGAAATTATCTATCACATGACGATAAATATAGAAAAATTCAACTAATCAACCGCATATCCTCTATCCACAATAAATTTTAATCTTAATAAAAATGTCAATAATAAATTTATTTATACTTAATTACATATTGTGCAATATGTGCACAATATGTAATTAAATATATATAAAATGCAACCGCCAAGAATTGATAAGATTAGCGCAAAGTTTTCTCTAAAAAAAGACTGTCGTGTAGTAGCGCCCTCTCGGATTAATATTGTAGCTACAGCGAGAATCTAGTACGGATGATATTATTACATTATTTAGATACAGTAGCATTTATTTTCATGAAAAAAAGCGTAAAAAACAAACAAAATTCTTAAAAATCCTCGGTATGATTCAAGAATTCTCCCACCACGTATTAAAGTATTCTTCCATCAGTACGAAAGTATTT